AGAAGGAGCTGAAAATGGTTGCTTTTTGGGATTTCGATTAGATTGCTTGGGGGCAGGTAGGGCAGCACCGGGAAGAGACTGTGTATTTCATTAAATGCCACTTGGTACTATTTGATTTTTTTTATAGGCATATCTAACTATGGTAAAAAGAAAAATAGTCATTAAACTAATAAAAGAAAAGGACTCAGAATGCTAGGCAAACTGAATAATTCAGCATTACCGTAACTCTAGAATCTGGGAGAAAATGTTACCTAACAACAGCAACAAAAATATCACTTCATAATATGGGAAAATGTTCAAAATATACTGTTCAATAAAATAAACAGGTTATAAAATACAGTGTATAAAATAACTCATTTTCACACCAAAATTTATCTTTGCATGCATTAAAAAAAACATGAGTATGATACTGAAATACCAAAGACAGTTATTTCTAAATGATATAATTATGGATTTTACTGGTGATTAAAAAATTTTTATATGAATGTTTTACATTTGAAATTAGAAAAAGATTTAAGAAAAACTAATGAGAGAAAGCTATTTTAAAAGTTTCGAGATGGTCTCACTCATAAAAACTGCACTTATTAGTTCTTTCTGTGAGCAAAGCACCCTGCTAAACTCTTTGGAGGTTACAAAGATACATAAGATATGGTTAAAATTTCTCAAAAAGGTCAAGATCTAACATGAAGATGAAAATTGGTGTGTAAATACCAGTGTAAAAGTCACAAATAATGTAAGATAGAGTGATAGAGTTTTAAAAGCGTTCTAAGCATGAGGGTCAATACAGGAATAGTTCTTTAGTGAGAAAGATCACTTTAAAATGGAACAGAGTTAAGGAGGTTGGAAGTGGAAGGATGCGGACGATTTCAAGAGGTAGGAATCATGTGAGGCCATTACAGCAAAAAACAAGACTCAGAAGTGTAGGTGCAAAGTAATTTTGACTGGAGCCTGGGGTAGGAGTGGGACGTGCACTTTGGGACCAGATTGTATCGGGTGCTGAATGCCAGGTAAAGGGATTTCAACTTAGTTCAATAAAAGTTAACAGTTATTGAAGGTTGTTGGAGAGAGGAATAAAATAATTACACATGGGAAGAGAAAGCCTATTTGAAGTCTATTATGCCAGCCCAGGTCAGCAATAATGAAGGCCTGAACTAGGATATTGATTGTGAGAATGAAAAGAAGGGATCAAATTGAGAATCATTTTACGAGTCCGGTATATAGAATTTAGCAGCGATTTGAAGTAGGAAAAGAGGTAGAAGGTAAAACAGTGGTGCACTGTTGTGAATCTTGAGTATTAGAACAGTGGTAATGCTAGCAAAGGAGGGCAGTCAGAACAAAGAGGGAGTTTTGTGGAGGAAGATAGTTGTGGGTATCTTGAATGATTTGCTTTTGGGGGAATATCCATGAGGCAAGACTCAAAAGGCAGTTGAAAGTATGGATTTGAAGTAGTCATTCAGCAAATACATATTGTCTCCTATGTTTAATAACTTGATATGTATTATCAATTTAAAATTGAGTAAAACAAGATCTCTGTCCTTATGAGGCTCATCATTTGGACTAGGGAGATAAATAGATATCAAATTGATAATTACAACACAGTTGTTATAAGTAATGCATCAACAGAGTATGAACAGAGTTCTGTGAGAGCAGAGGAGACAGCTGTGTCCTGATGCTCTTTGTTTTCGTTGTAGGGAAGGGATTCACTCAGATATTCAAAGATGTACATGGCCAATTGGAGCTTACAAACATGGGAAATTATTCTTGACCTGATGTGGATGTTTCATAAAAATGAGCACTTCATTTAGAGAGCAAAGAGGGAGAACATTGTACTGAGAACAATATCTGAAGGGGTGTATGTAACATATTTGCAAGTTAGGAAAAAACTGAGAAGCAGTGGGGGGAATGTAGGATCTGATCTCAGACGCTAAAACAGGAGACCCAAGACACAAGAAAGCTTGATAGTGGCCAAGAGATTAGGAAGATAAAGGATTAATAAAAGTCTATGGATTTAATGATTCAGAGACCATTGACTTTTCAAAAATGTCTCCATAATACGAGAAAAAGTCTGCTTCAGTTGGTGACAATATGTAGTAATAATAATAATAACTATTATAAAAATAAAGGTAGTGAAATATTGGTCCTTTTATATGAATATATATGTTATACATATTAATTATGTATTACTTTAAAGATAAACTCATGTACAGATAAATACATGTATAGGGAGTAAGTATAAATAATAGTTTTATAAACTTTATTTTTCAGAAATAGTATGAAAAGGATAAGAAATGGTCTTGTGGAGATAGTAAAGCCATTGAATTTGCAGGGATTGTTGGTGATGTCTGAAAACAATTTTCAAAAGAGTAGTAAGGGCAGAATGTAGACTTTGAAGGAGTTAAGTATATAGAAGAAAATAAATGACTACAGGTCTCAGAAATCCTGAAATCCTGCCTTTCCACCCCCACTCCCCAGCTGTATAATGACTACTTTTTCTTCAGTTATCACCTGAAATGTTCCTACTTCGAACAGACCTTATTCAACCTTTTCAAACTAGTTTCCCCATGTTATATTACGACAGCATTCTTTTGCTCCATGTAACCGCCCACAATTTATAATATATTGCTTGTGTATTTATTAAATGTCTGTCTTCCTCACCAGACTGTCAGTTGCATATGGATAGGCACCATGGGAATTTGTTTTCCACTTTACATTTTAGCCTCGTCAGCATTGATGCACAGTAGTCTGTTACTAAATACGTATTGAATGAATGAGAGAGGTAAAAGGATAGATTGTCTCCAGAACAAATTTATTGGAAATAAAGTAGTTGTAAGAAATGTCCAAATCCAACATGTCACGTAATAATTGGGTTGCTGGAATAGAATGGAGATGAAGAGTTGGGAAAATTAAAGTTGTACTTTTATAACAAAGCCCAACTCAAATCCCTGTTGGACTCAATGATGGGATGAAGAGGAAAGAGTGATGCTTTAAAATAGAGGACAAAATGGAAGAAGCTGAATTAAAGCAGATGCTATAGTAATGAGTGTAGTAAAAAATGAGTAGAAAACAGTAAAAACTTCATGTCTCCTCTTTCTTATCAGGTGAGTTGGGACTTTTAGAGGGTTGTGAGCCAAGGGCAGTAGAATGAAAAACCATGTTTTAATTAAATTGATAAGATACAAGGATTGCTTAAAGAAATAAGAGGAAGAAAGTGTTGGAGAATATGCTCATGGTACAACAGAGGCATCATAATGTGATGGGACTAATACCAGGGAAGACCAGAAAATGACTGAAGTAGTTTACAGTGGGCTATTAGCTTCAATGTAAGCGCTTAATAAGTATTAATTGGTTAATAAGCTTGTTCAGTGTAAATTTGTTACTATTTCTAAAGAAATATTACAGAACAACCCAAAATTGAGTAATGCGAATCGCAAACAGATACTTTTTCTTATGTAGTCCCATATCTTGGAACATAATTACATGTAAATTTATTTATATTATTTACACTAGATGATTTCAGCAAAACTTATTTTCTTGTATTTTTAATGCTGTCACATGGTGATATAAGTTCTGCACAGTATTATCAGCTACTTCCCAGAAATCCATGGTTCCAAAAAATAGAAGCTAGTTTGCCAAACATTTTTTAAAAACTGAATAATCACCCCATAAATAGCTTTTATGATAGTTTACAAACAATTATGGTTATGAAATAACTGATCTTAATTTATGTGTACCTCAATTACATTCTATTAAAATTTTGCCCCCCCAAAAAAAGATTTGGTGTAGTTTTCTTTTTCGTTAGTACTGTGAAACTTTTAGGCAGCCATGAATACCTTGCCTTGTTACAGTATTTCAATTCCTCTTGTGACCAATGTCATAGCATGGGTTTATAAGATGACGAGTTAGGGATGCTATCTTTGGTCATGAAAAAGAGTTGTCTGTTATTCTCTGGGCAAAACTAAATAATTCCTATGGGAGTCAAATAGAGACATGGGCGAGGATCACACTGTGCTTTACTACTGAGGGCTTTGGCACAGACCACCTGGGGTTTTATGTTGTTCTGTATTCATTCAAAACCAAGAGTCAAAGTGCTCTGTGATGTCCATATGAAGAGTCATGCATTAAAACATGCTTCTTTCTGTAGAGATTATATTTTTCTTCTTACTTTGTTTTTTAAAGTTTTTTTTTTTTTTTTTTTTTTTACTGAACATCTTAGTATTTTAACAGGTGTATTGAGATAATGACACTGAGATAATGGCTCCCTAGCTATTAGGGAATAATTCATTTCCTGAATGTGAGATGTTTTGGAAACTATTACTATCATTTCATAACTACATATTGTGTAATAATCCTGACTCAAAGCACCTAGTAGGTTAATTCTTGGTATTATGAAAGCTGATGAGGGAGAATATACTTATCTGCCACAAAATTTTGCATGTGTGAATAGTTGTTACCAAAGTGAAAAGAAAGGAAACTACTTTCATCTGTACTTTTTCTCACCACTTGAGTTCTTTTTAATCTTCTTGGTACCCAAGAATAATCTGTTTATTAAACGGTGACATTTCAAGTTGTTGCATTTTAAGTTTTCTTCTGTAAAATTCTCTGCCCTTACCCGAAAAGAAAGAAAAAAAAAAAACTTATGATGTATCTAGGATACTCCTGATTTGTCTTTTAATGAGTCAAAGCTGAGAGTCAATGTATTAAGAGTCAGATAATTTGAAGATTGATCATCAGGCCCTCAAGGTCTAGAATACAGTCAGAGCAAGAATTTGATTCAGTATTTCCCTGTTGCCAGAGGTACGATCTGCCTGTCTTCTTGTTGTCTTTTAGTCTTGGTAGAAATGTATTATCTTTTCTTGCCAAAATGGGAATGTAAAGGAGGAAGAGATTTAAGTCTGAAAATTATATGAGTGCTTCCCCCTAGACTATCAAAAGTTAGCTATTGATTTTGCTTTGAATGTGGATGGGACTGACAGCACACTGACCTTGAGTTCTCTTCACAGTGGGTAAACCTCACAAGTGCAACTACTGTGGACGAAGCTACAAGCAGCGCAGTTCACTGGAGGAGCACAAGGAACGCTGCCACAACTATCTCCAGAATGTCAGCATGGAGGCTGCTGGGCAGGTCATGAGTCACCATGGTGGGTAGAAATTGGATTCATCATTTTTATTTCCCCCTACTGCTTTTGTAGTTCAACATGAAGATAAAATCTTATGCTGTTTAAAACTATTTTAGATCACTTTAACTTAAATGAGTTGAGCTTTGGGGTACATTGCAGATAATCTATATTGAAATTTTGCAATATTCCCAAATTATTTCTGATAACATTTGACTTAGCATAATAATGGCAACCAACATTTAATATACCAAAGGCAGGTGCTGTTTACTCTTCTTTTTCATTTAGCTAACCAGATAGTTAGAGCTGGTTCCACGTTAGTTTGTAGGTTGCCTTAAAGAATGCAAGTGATCAGTCATATAATTTGAAATTTCTCCAATCGGCCCTTTAATTTTTCTGAGAAATTACTGATTTTGCTTTCTACAATGTGCAAAACAATCTAGACCAAAATTAGACACCATCTCTCTCCATAAAAAACATTCTCCAAGCAAAACATCCTCATCTCTAACTACACTGTGGCAGGTAGGAAGACAATCCCTAAGGTTTATCAATGAATAATTCTCTGTTCCTGAAAAGTTAATTTTAATAATCAGCCTTATATAGGAAAATAATGAATTTCAATTCTTTTTTTTTTATTTATTTTTATTTTTTTATTATATTTTAAGTTCTAGGGTACATGTGCTGAATTTCAATTCTTAAGATTTGTAGTGTCTGTCTTATCTTACTAATTAGATTTGTATAGTGATAACTTTTATTTTTACAAAGACAAAAATCTCAACTTATTAGTACATGTATATATTTTATTTATTTTTTAAAATTATTTTTTATTTTATTATTCTTTTTTTTGAGATGGACTCTTCACTTTGCCACCCAGTCTGGAGGGCAGTGGCACCATCTCAGCTCACCGCAACCTCTGCCTCCCAAGTTCAAGCGATTCCCCTGCCTCAGCCTGCTGAGTAGCTGGAATTACAGGCATGCGCCACCAGGCCTGGCTAATTTTTGTATTTTTAGTAGAGACAGGGTTTCGCCATGTTGGCCAGGCTGGTCTCAAACGCCTGACCTCAGGTGAGCTGCCTGCCTTGACTTCCCAAAGTGCTGGGATTACAGGTGTAAACCACTGCACCTGGCTACTTGTATATCTTTTATTTAAAAAAGGTTTGCCCAGTATTAAATGGTATAGTTGGGGATTGCACAGTCACTTTTAAAATATAAATATCTATGTATTGGCTTAGACATAGCCAGGTCAAGGATTATTTCTGGGGTTTTCTGTTTGTTTTATAGAGTATATACTGTGGAACTGTGTGTGTTGGACAGCTAGTGATTATGTGTTGTTGAATTGGGGATTTTTTTAATTTAAAATTTTTCTTGTTATTCTGAACAACTGAAATGTTTCCTTCTAGTTTCTATAATCTAAAGAATCTAATTCTATTGATTGTTTTGATCAAGTCCATTTATTTTTATATTATCATCATTAACATTTTTTACGAACTTATCTGTGTATCAAGTCTTGGTAAATGTGATATTTCAAGCTTGCATTACCTGGGCTGATGACGATAGCATAGGATCTAGAACATAGAGATTACAAAATGGTGTGTGTCGGAGTCTGCCAAACCTGCTCTGGCTACATGGTGTCTGGGTGTGTCACTCACAGGCTGGGTTTGAGGATTAAATGTGATGAGATGTGTAATAAATGCCCAACAAATGGTTTACTTTACCGCTAACATTTGAGAACATTAAATAACTCAGTAACAGTAAATGTGCTATTCCCTATAAATTTGTTATTTACCAGCAATAACTTAAGCATTAGAGGTTTCATTTGCTGACCAAACACACTGTTACTATTTAAATTGTTGGATTTAAGGGTAAGTTGAGGCAGGAAGCTGATGGAAGCTTAGGGGAATACCAAATCTTCCCCAAAACACCTTATGGCATTGCTACTAGTTTTTCTATATGATGTTCTCCCATTACAGTTCTGACATTTGATGGGGTTATGCATTTCCAACTTTATTTATTATTTTTGCATTCCTAGTTATTTATGGAATTCTGTATTGCATACATACTCCTAAAAGACTATATGGTAATAGGGAGGTAAAATGTAAATAAATTATTATAATCAAGATTTAATTATCTGTTGGCAGACTGAACTTTTAGAGAATCAAATGCTAACGAAAAATTTAAACAAGTGCATTTTGGGGAAAGCAAAGACATGTCTTCTAAACAACTAGGGCCTCAGTCTTAACCCCTGTTCCCCAGATTGCTTAGCCCTCCACAGGCATAGGCCCTTTACAGGTGGTGCGAAAGCTGGAACCAAGTGGAGGAAAGTGGGAAAGAGGCAGGGGCACTGGGTAGGTAGAGCAGAGGGTAAAACCAAAGAGGATAAGGGGTTGAGGGTAGCTTCTGATACCATTTATAGAACCAAATATTCTTAAATATTGGATATCGTTTTAACCACATAATTTTATATTCATGCCATTTCATACTGTACTTTTTCTGGGTTTGTTGTAACAATAATTTGAGATTATCCTTAATCTTCTCTTCCTTTTATTAACATGCTTAATGGGAAATTGGCCATATGAGGTAGGAGTTGATAAATACTGTAAGAGAAAAACATGGTTCTGTAAAATGCTGCTAGAGTTCATCATTAACATACGTCTCATATAAATAGCTTGGCATATGTCTCTTTTTAAACAGAACCACGATAAAACTTACATTTATCCCCTTCTCTTGCTGTATCTTATTTATTTGTTTTCCTTTTTTGTGGTAGATATGAGAGTTGCCATCATTTTGGTTGCCATTAGCTCCATGAAATGATTTAACTATTACTCGTTTTTAAAAAATATCTGACATAGTTATATTTCCTAGTCTGTCTTTTCCAAAACATGTTTTTCCCTATGCTGTTTTTCTAGTATGGAATTTTTTAAAGAAAAAGAGGCATTTTTCACTTTACTCAGGAAACATTTATCAAGTGCTTACTATGTGCTAAGTTATATGGAACATTCTGGGATATAAAAATAAATGGACACAGTTTTTTAATACACTTACTTTATAGTCTGGTAGGAAATACATACTTTAAGAAAATAAAATACAATGGAGCAAAAGCTCTAATAAAGATGCATACACAGTTCTGTGGGAACATAGATGCAGAATTAACCTAACTCTGGAACAAAGTCAAGAGAGGCTTCTTACATGCAGGAGTGTTCAATCCAAACATGAGAGATGAGTAAAAATTGCATAAATCAGGCAGGATACAGAAAATGTATATTCAGAGAGAAGAAGAGGCTTGGAGATATAAAAGATAATTAACAGCTTCCCTGATGTTGAATGTAACTGCAGTTTAAGGAGTGGTAGGAAGTGAAGCTTCTGAATTAGTAGGTTGTGATGCAAAGACGGAGTCTTCTCTGCTAATCTAGTGTTTGAATTTCATTGTGTAACTGATGGGGGGCCACTAGGGTAACCAAATTTGTTATTAATGAGGTAGTCAAATCAAGAAAAATGTCTCCAATGAGGATACATGATAAATGCCTACCTCAGTCAGGGGGTAGGGTATGAGGAGAGACTGGAAATGAGAATGCCAAGAAAAAGATGAAAAGGCAACAGCAAGAGAAGAGAACAAGGTGAAATATTGAAGACATATTTAGGAGGTAGAATAAAATGTTCTTAGAAAAGTTGATTGAGTTTGAGGAAAAAGGAGGAATATCATGACTCACACTTTTGGAAATAATGGTAACAATTGAGTTTTATGAAAGATAATTTATATAATTAAAGTATTTAATTGGGTTTGATGAGCTTATTTATTTAATTGGGATTTAGGGCAGATTATTTATCTTATTTAATTAGGTTTTATGGCAGATTATCTTGTTCAATATTATCTTTATGTTGCTTTTTCAAGTCTATTCAGCTTGAAGAAAAAACTTTAAAATCAAACTGTGTTATTACCTGTTTTACCGCAACCTAAAGATGAGAATGAAAGTGCAAAGCAGAAGGATAGCCAGCTTAAAATCTATATATATTGTTAGGTTTATGCTTTGAATTGTTGGGGAAAGGGAGGTTCTTTTTCACTGAGTATAGAGGCATTATTGGGCACCCCTAAACTTTGGAGTAAGCTTTTTTGACTTATTTCCATTGGGTGACATCATTCAGTGAACATCCATTGAATATTATATCTCTCTTGTATCATGAAAGGTATTAGAGACACAAATACAACAGAATGCAACCCCTGAGGTTATTTACCAGCTATTGGAAGATAGACCAGTAAAACAGCAATTATAGTACTATGTGATAAGCATTATGGAGATAGAGAGGACATACCTAAATCAGCAGGACATCCAAGAGGAATTTCCCACGAAATTTATGTTTGAGCTTAGTTTTGAAAAGGAAAAATGTGAACTAATAAATGGAGAAGGGTGTTTCCTGAAGAAAGAACAACATGTGTGAACAGCTACCAATGTAGCATCTAAAACACTTGGGTTACCTCCATGTGTGTTTGTAAAGAGATGTGGTAGGGAGGAGGAGAGGCAGAAGTCTGGGTGAAAGGAAGAAATCTAGGATTTTCCACAGGTGACCAGCATAGCTGATGGGGTAAATAGTAGTGTCATTTACTGATATGGTAATTAGGAAAATAGAAGACAGAAAGGTAAATGGAGATTTTACTTCTTATACTATATTCTCTTATGTCCCTATGAAATAGCCAAGTAAAACTGTCTAGGAAGAAGTTAAATATATAGATCTCAAGCTCTTGAGAGGGGTCTGAGTAGTAAACAAAGATGCAGGATCCATCATAATTTATGTAGTGGCCCAACATAGTAGTTTTTAATAAGGCAGTACGGATAAGTACAGAGTGAGACATCAAGAAGGCCAAGAACACACTAGCAGGAAAAAAATTTCATGAAGATGAGTAAGAGCAGAGTAGGGACATGGAAAGAGTGATTTCACAGAAGCCAAAGCAAGTGTCAGCACTGCCAAATCCTGTCAAGAAAATAACTAAGATAACTGTAAAGTTTTTTTTTAGATCGGGTAACATGGAGAAAATTTGCAACAATATAGAAGACATCTGTTGTTTTTGCCTGCCTGACATCCCTTCCTCCTTCTCTTGATAACAAGAGTGCCCATTTACCTTTAGAGAACTTTCCTGTTGCATGTAGCGGTGGTGGGACCCTCAGTCCAGGTACTCTGCCCTCTCCTGCCCAGGGGCTAGACATGTGACCTCAGACACTCTTCCTGGAATTTGAATTTGGGTGAACTGTTTGGTTTTTCAAAAGGATACATTGGGAATACACCTATGGTTTTGCCTTTATGGTTATCAATGTGATGAAACAGTGATCTAATGGAATTATGTTTTTATCTTTGTTATAACCTCAAATATAAGGTCAAAGAGGATGTTTGGTTATGAAGTTTGTTCAAACAGGGGAAGTTACCTTATTGGTATATTTTTAGCCCAGATTAATGTCTGTGTGATTAATGCATTATTGAGATATCTACAGAATTTGTTTTATGTTTCTAGCAACATATACACAGAAATATTTTGATGAGTTGCACCGAAATATTTTGATAAGTTGCACCCAGATCCGTGAAGCAAAAAAAATCAGATTGGTTACATAATTAAGGAAAAATATATCAGGTCTTTACCCAATGGCAGACCTTACAAATATGTCTGACTGGTTTATAAAAAGTCAATGCCCAAAATACCTCTATAAAGAATAGTATAGCATAATGGTTGAGCCAGGCTCTGGATCCAGACTCTTAGTAGTAATAACATTCTCTACTAACCAGATGTAAACCCTGAGGAAATTACTTAACATCTATGGGTCTTTGTGTTCTCATCTGTACAGTGAAGATGGTATTACACCTATTTCATGGGGTTTCTGGATGAATTAAATTAATTATTAAATGCAAAGCCTTAAAACAGCACACAGCACATAGTATACGTCAGTTATTAGTATTGCCGATGTGGTAGAAACAAGATCAATTTTTGACATGAAAAGGGCTATTGTAAAGTAGAAATTAGATCAGAACTCTGCCAAAGTCATCATTTTCAGTTCACATGAGCTTCATTGAACTGGGGACAAATCATCTGAATTGAGGTGGATGTGGTGTGGGACAGTTCCCACACCCGGGTTTCGTTTTGAGTGTTAAATGCGTTCAAGTATGAAAATTCAGGGTGAAACTTAGCACAAAACTGCCAGGTTTTGGACTACTCATTTCAGAACAAATTAGCATATTCAATTTCGGGGGCAAACCCGTTAACCAGTTTTGCTAGTTTTTGAGCAAAATTTACAACAACATTTTTTTTTTCTTTCCAAATTCTTTCAGTTTGGATCTTGGTCTCTGACATATTTTCATCTTTGGTCCATACTTGGACTGCTTTTTAGTTTTATAGTTACTTCTAATAATGTAGTAAGTGTTTGAAAATCTACCTTCCAAACAAAAAGTTAAGATTTTGACCATAATTTGTATCTTATTACCTGGTTCTCCACCACACCACCACCACTGTGCCATCCTTCTGACTCCCCTTATGTGAATTGTGTGGTCATCCTTGAATGTTTTTGAAATTCTTTGCTTTTTTGTTGACTCTTTGGCTTTTGTGTAACTTTTTTAGTTGTTACTAAAAGAGAATATAATGTTTTATACATAATATCTTGGGACATACTTTTTCAATGTGATAACATCATTAATTATATATTGTAGACAATGATGTGTTTCCTTGTTCCTCAGTCTCACCTTGGAAATTTTTCTCCAAATTAACATCAAATGATTGCACAATCCCTTGCTATTCATAGCCAGAGGACTTCTTATTAAATGTAGATTACAGTTCAATTTTTCTGACCCATCTATAGGTTAATCAAAACTTGGATGGAATGTTGATTTCTTTAAACATGTCCAAATCATGAAAACATTTTTTCACACTATGTTTCACTTTTTCAAAATTAGCAACCTATTGGTTATTAAATACGTCAACTGAATTGTACACTCGGTTTTCCTAACTTTCATCTCTTGCTTTCTCACTTATTTTTGTGTCTGCCAAGAGGATCCCCTTATAAATGAGAAGACATTTTTTGTACACAGTGGGACTATCTTATACAAATGAAAGGATCAGAGTAAATCATTTTTACAGTGCATACTGAACAAGTAAAATTATTCTAAGAAATGAAAGCTTTAGGTTTCCAAACAGTGCTGGCACAAATGCAACTGGAGAAAGCAACAATAATAAAGAACAAGTAATAAGTTATGTTCTTTCCTGAGAACACTGTTTTTAATCAACTGATTTGCCGTGTCTGAGTTGTTACCCTATCTTTAATTAAACATCCTTGGGTGGTATTTCTACTCAAAAAACAACTGTTGTAAGTTCTTTGCACTATGAATGTCAATGTCTAAGGGCTAACATATTAGCCCGTAGCAACTTGGACAAATGGGATGAATAGGGAACAGCATTGGAGAGTGTATGTCAAATGAATTAGGGCAGTAGTTTAGTGAGCCAATGTGCCAATTTGGAAATGGATTCTTCTTCCTGCTGAAGAGCTCTTTTTAAAATAAATTACAATCATAAAGCTGCCACAGTTTACTGTGCATAGACATGTTCAGAATTGGCTCTCCTTCATGAGGGCTGCTTGGTACAGGTATTTAAGCTACTGCCAATAAGGCTAACAGCCTATCAAATAGAAAATATGCTGCAGGAAAATACATGGGTTAAGAAAAATAGTTAAATATCATGCTGTTATTTTGTATGTCTGTTTAAGCTTTTCTCTAAAACAAGTTGACTTGTTTTTAAATTGTTTTTAAAAAATAAACTCTAAAAGCCTTGAAAATAATGCAGTCTTAAAAGTAGTATTGATTTTAGTCAGTGCTAAAAACACTTTCAGGGGAATAAGATGAGAAACCACATGAACAAGTTTGCCACCAATAGTGGCAACAGTGTATGTCATGGATTTAAGAGAGACTCAAATAAAAATAAATCCTCTGGTGTATATGTGTGTGTGCAGATTTAAAGAGTATACTTTCACACTACAAGGTATTCTTTCTACTTGCTTCTATTCAAGCATACTAGCTTTTATAACACATATTGAGATGGCAAATCCAGCTTTGTATCATCCAAAATGTTGAAGAAATTATCAGATTGCATTTTTCTATGGTTTTGTATAGTACCTCCTATGGAAGATTGTAAGGAACAAGAGCCTATTATGGACAACAATATTTCTCTGGTGCCTTTTGAGAGACCTGCTGTCATAGAGAAGCTCACGGGGAATATGGGAAAACGTAAAAGCTCCACTCCACAAAAGTTTGTGGGTAAGCATTACAAATGTTTTTGTTTCTTTGCAAGGCGATTTTAATAGGAAAAGGCAAGTTCCCATGTATTAGAAATATATATGGTGTGTTTCAGTTCATGAAATAAATACCCATCTCTTTTCTCCATTATTCTTTTCTACTCTCTGCCACTCTGTGTGCACCACACTTACACCAACACACACAAACACACAAAAAGAAATAAAGACTGATAGTGGTCACCACTCAAAATGTGATGATATATAAAGTGAAATTACATGTAAAATAGAAAGTATTAATTTGTTTAAAAAATAATCATACAGAAGAGAAATGGTCCAGCCTGTTGGCCAGTTTTGTAATCTGTTTTAAAATTTTCATTAGTGCCAGTTTTTAACTGTTTTTTTTTTTAACCTGTTAACATTTATGCCTAATGTTCCATTATTGGAAAGCTAAGCATGTGGGAGTTATTTATATCCCACTGCTCAAGGTCATCACCAAGGTCTGATTGCAAAAATTAAAAAAAATTCAACCTCAGGCATAAATGGGTTAATTATTTTAGTATTTTGTCTGGAACAAAGATAATTTTTCTTTTTTTTTTCCCCAAAATTCTGTATTGGAAAAATAATGCAGCAACCTACATTCAAGATGTTTCATGTTTGGTTCTTTATTTTATATTTTGATCTTTGTTTTTTCATCCAGCCTATGATTTTGAACTGAAAAGATTAAATATCATATATTTAGACTTTCCCTTTTCATTTCCAAACCCTTAGATATTCTTTGATACGCCCAATGTTGGCATCATTCTGAATGCATGCTGTAAGTCATAGAGTGTCTCTGAGGATACAAAAAGCATGGACTTTTTAAAAGAAATATGAATAATAGAGATTCAATGAAAAGAATTGTTAAAGAATTGTTATTCATTGTATATATAATATATCTATTCTTGCAGGCTTAATGTAGGATAAAAATATTCAAACAGATTCTCACATTCTAGTGTCATCATTGTGGGACATCCTGATTAAATGGTGGTTGAGAGAAAAATCTTTGCTTTGGTTATTTCAGGAAGGAGAGACTAACACAATTACATTACTTCAATAAACACTTAAAGAAGGTTTCCTTTTAATCTGAAATTGAAGAACTAACACATCACCAAAATACTACTCTAAGAGTAGCTGGAGGGATTTATTGAGAACTCATTGAAAGACGGCCGAAGGGCGACTGTAAAGGCCATAGTTTATACTATGTCAGTTGAAGCCCCTGAGTTATACACAAAGGACTGCCTCAGGCTTTCGGTAACTTTTCTTTCTGTTCTTGTGGGTAACTATGAAGAAAAAAGAAATAAACAACCAGTTTACTTATTTTTAATATTGATTTTTTTGATGGATATCATTAAATGTTTAAATCTAACTAGACTCTAGTGTAGTTGGAAAAATATAAAATATATTATTATTCTTTCTGTCTTCTGAATTTATATAGTCTACTCTTTGTAACATTTTTGTCATGTTTCCTGACTTAGAGATGTTACTCTCAATTTTATTTCACTGCATTCCTTAGAAAAGACGGACAGATTTTTAGAAAATTACATTATGATTCTAAAATATATATATTATATTTTTTAATTAAGAATTTGAGAGTATATTTTTCTTTATTTGGATTCTGTCCTAGTAATATATAACAAAACAGTAGCCACAGTTATTACTTCTATTATTGTTCTTGAAACAAAAAATTTCATCATTCCACACTTATTATAAATTGCCTTCTTCATGTGCCTCAGTTAAATACTATTCTTTGACCTTATCAAATTCTCCAGACTAATGATCCCTGAACTTCCTGCATATCTACTTGTCTCTCCCTCTCTTTTCTTATTCAGCTTAGATTCCATGGTTCATCACATCTACATCTCTCTTGCCAATATTCTTGCCTTTCTTGCTTTGTTGGCTGATCTGTCATCCCCTTCTCCTGGTGAAACCCCACTCTCTTGTAAAGCTGACTGGGCATCCTTTCCATACTTGTATCTCACTAGATGTGCACCCCAGCCTGCACATCTGGTATTTTTGGAGAAAATTCCACAGGCTGATGAGTTGGCATCAATATAGATAAATGAATAACTGATCCCAAATATCAGCTGGCCCATCCATGCTATGGAGCAGCAATCCTTTAATCCATCCCTGAACAATCATCTGTCCTACTCTCCACCATGACAGTGCCAACCTTCTCTACTGTCTGCAACATGCTCTCTCACTCCTTGGTGATCCTATATCTATGTTCACAGGGGATAAAATCACTGGAAATGATTTCAACATAATATTATCAATTCTGTAAGATTGTATGCATCCATGTAAATACTTTTATCCTTTTTCCTTATTTCAATGAAAGAACTATCCCTCTTTCTTATTAAAGTTCATTCCTCCTCTTGTCATAGGAATTCTCCTATCCTGGCCCCCCAGATACCTCACACTATTATTTTTCCTCTTTCTCACTTACATTTTTAACCTCTCCCCTCTATTAGCCATTTCCTATCAGCATTTAATGCAATAAATTCTCATAATTTAAAAAAATCTTCTTTTAAGCCCTGTCTCCTTCCAGGTACACCTATAGTCTCCTTTTCTTCAAAGATGAAATTGTTGAAAGAATCTCTGTGCTTGTTGTATATGATGTTTTTCCTACTCATTTCCAAGTCCATGCAACCTGTTTTTATTTCCCACACTCCATTGAAATTATTCTCATTGAGGCCACAACTAGCTTCTGTAGTGCCAAATCCAGTAGACTCTTTTAAGACAGTGTCTTACACAGCTCCTAGAGAGTGTCTGCCACTATTTAATAGTCAATTCCTTTGGAAACACACTCTTTTCTTGTTTTTTATAACACTGTTCTCTCTCTCTGACTGTGCTCAGTATTCCTTATAGACTTATCCTTAACAGCTGTATAAGTTGGGCAAAGTCCAAATGCAGGCCCCCATTCATATGCCTAAATATTTTTATATTATTAATCTAACTGTAAAACGTATTTTCTACCCTTCCAACTTGACTAAGTTCAAATAAATATGCAATTCTCAGATTTCTTGTAGCTCTACACTACACCTTGGCAGCATGAGCAGAACCACGCACTGGCTTACAGCTAGGCTGCTCTCTTAGACCCACTGCTGGTTCTCTCCATTACCAAAGGGGGTCTCACACACACACGTGTATGGACACCCCAGTCTGCACCTCCAGGTTCTTTCTACATTGTACATAAAGACCAGTGCCTTGGCCATCAGGCCTAGGTGTGTACTTACCAGTAGCACAGTTGGTATGAAGTATTATGGACCCTATGAAGAGGACTGTGTAGACCCTAGAAGCAGGCTCAGAACCATTTGGTCAAGGAATTCTGGGGTCTGAGTGAGCTTCAGATCAGCACATTCCCTTGGCCCTACAAGCTCTTCATTTCCTGAGAAGGGCCCAGGGCTCCCTAAACATGGGGCCCAGTGCAAACCCCACTTTCCCTGATCTATGAATAGGCAGAAAAATCTTTGTGTTATTCCAGGTTCTATTTTTGATCCATCCCCTTCACACTCTACCTGGGTGATATCAGTTATTTCCTTGGCTTCAGAAGTTGCTTTCTGTCAACCAATGACTCATTTCTACATCTCCAGCTCAGGTCTGTCTTCTGAATTTGAGACTAAATCTTACTGGACATGACTATTACTCATAGTCCTCCCCAAACTGAATTCATCATCTTTTCTATCTCATTGTCATCCACTAAATTTCCTAGGCCAGAAACCTGGGCCAGAAACCTACAGCAACAATTTCCTAAACCCCTTTGCTAAATTAATACCTTCAGGGCACTTCCCTGTTTATCCCCTTCAATCTGTATTCCTTTAGGGAAATATTCAATTTTTTTAGCATATTTAGCGTTATATTATCTAACTTGTCTTTCTCACTTGTTTCCACTCTCAGCCTTATTGAAGTATAAGTAATTCCTCATTTATAAGCCATGCCCTCTTGTCTCTGATCCTTTCTACCAGCTGCTCCACCTCATGTTTCCTCACTCGGCTAATGTTTACAATCACATTCTTGTCCTTAATTCCATTTCCTTCAAGAAGTCTTTCTTTAGTCCTCTAGTATGTGCTAAATATTCCTCTTATTTGACCCCATCACACATATCACACTATGTCATAAATGATCCTTAAATTACTATTGTTCCTTCCAAACTGTAAACTCTTTGAGAATATAGATCAGGTTTGTCTAGCTTAACTTTGAAATGTTTGACACTGCATGTATTTTAAGTTGAGTGCCATGAAATATTTCTCCTCATTTTATCTTTCCGTTTTTATTACTCTAATCATTACACTGATCTCACTTAGGGGCCATTTCTTCAAATCTGAAATAATGCTATCTACTTTAGTGTGTTTTTCTAGAATGCAAGCCTGTAGATCAACATTTTTCCATCAAAATTACAAGTTAAGCATCCATCCACAACAACATATTAACCATTTATAGGAAACTCACCTATGTTTTTAAGAAGCATTTATCTGTAAGATTTACCTATAAAAGTAACTGGTAAATAGAGACCACATTGTCTTATGGACAGAATTTTTAAAAGATGAAATATTCTGTTCAAAACCAGCAATATGTGGCTAAAAATCAAAACTGCTTTTCCTGTTGCAAGCACCAAAACTCTTTTATAGTTATCAGTCAGACATTATGTTGATGTATAATACTGGAGTAAAATTATATTTGTTAAGGTGTATATTTAAGGAAAAACTACAAACATACTTCAATCAAGAAAAGGTATGGGAAGATAGCAATGGGTGTACATACCAGCACCATCACATACACATGTCTAAATAAGAAAGAATGATATAAAAATGAATATCAATTTCAAGAAGCAAAACAATGAAACAAGATTTTCCAAGTTTATAAGAAAATACTTTTTGAAATAACTCCTAATTTTATTTTTAAATAACCCTAAATTTCATTCATTTGTATTAGGTGGTACAACTTTTAAAAGTATTTTAATAATGACTTTTAAAAAATCTCCAGAATGACATATATGGATTATATATATTTTTTCTAAAATAGTGGCTGAATCAAACAACTTAACCCTACACAACAGTGAGGTGCCATCTGTTATAACAAGATCACTCTCACTTTTATGCAAAATCAATCATAATCTCTGACTTATTTTTACTGGGTATTTATTCTTCCTCCTATTCTCCTTGAGCTCTGTTCAAGTGAGAATTTTAAAAGAAAATGAAAATATAATAGACTCAATCATCTCTTTCAGACTAAATGCATTCTCATGACGGCATCAGAACAAATGCAAAGGGCTTATGAAATTTTTATTGCTTTTATATTTTTTCATGTCAAGAATATTTGTGGCCGGATCCAGTGGCTCATGCTTGTAATCGTAACCCTTTGGGAGGCCAAAGTGGGCAGATTACTTGAGGCCAGGAGTTCTAGGCAAGCCTGGCTAACATGGCAAAACCCTATCTCTACTAAAAATACAAACATTAGCCAGATATGGGGGTGCATGCCTGTAATTCTAGCTACTCGAGTGGCTGAGGCGTGAAATCCCTTGAACTGGGGAGGAGGAGGTTGCAGTGAGCAGAGATCACACCACTGCACTTTGGCCTGGGCAACAGAGTGAGACTCTGTCTCAAAAAAAAAAAAAAAAAAAAAGTGTGAGCATCAGCAGAATTGCTCAAATACTTGAGCATAATTTGGTAATATATACCAAACTATGAAAAATGGAGGCAATCAGTCAACTTTGTACCCTTTCATATTTTTAATCTGATACTAATTTTTTTTTTTTTAACTTCTTTCACCTCCCATTCCTTTCCAGGGGAAAAGCTCATGCGATTCAGCTACCCAGATATTCACTTTGATATGAACTTAACATATGAGAAGGAGGCTGAGCTGATGCAGTCTCATATGATGGACCAAGCCATCAACAATGCAATCACCTACCTTGGAGCTGAGGCCCTTCACCCTCTGATGCAGCACCCGCCAAGCACAATCGCTGAAGTGGCCCCGGTTATAAGCTCAGCTTATTCTCAGGTCTATCATCCAAATAGGATAGAAAGACCCATTAGCAGGGAAACTGCTGATAGTCATGAAAACAACATGGATGGCCCCATCTCTCTCATCAGACCAAAGAGTCGACCCCAGGAAAGAGAGGCCTCTCCCAGCAATAGCTGCCTGGATTCCACTGACTCAGAAAGCAGCCATGATGACCACCAGTCCTACCAAGGAAACCCTGCCTTAAATCCCAAGAGGAAACAAAGCCCAGCTTACATGAAGGAGGATGTCAAAGCTTTGGATACTACCAAGGCTCCTAAGGGCTCTCTGAAGGACATCTACAAGGTCTTCAATGGAGAAGGAGAACAGATTAGGGCCTTCAAGTGTGAGCACTGCCGAGTCCTTTTCCTAGACCATGTCATGTACACCATTCACATGGGTTGCCATGGCTACCGGGACCCACTGGAATGCAACATCTGTGGCTACAGAAGCCAGGACCGTTATGAGTTTTCATCACACATTGTTCGAGGGGAGCACACATTCCACTAGGCCTTTTCATTCCAAAGGGGACCCCTATGAAGTAAAGAACTGCACATGAAGAAATACTGCACTTACAATCCCACCTTCCCTCAGATGTTGACATACCTTTTATTTTTTTTTAATATTATTACTGTCGATAATTCTTATTTTATGGACGCAGTGTCATTTGCTCTGCCTAATTATGATGAGGAAGAAACAGAAGAGAGAAGGGATGGAAATATTGTTTCTTTATCACTGGCTTGTTTATTTTGTGGGAATTTAAAAGCAGTCCATTTCTACTAAGGCAGATCATGCTTTGAAAAAATCACTTGATTCATAAAGATTTGTCACCTAAGAGATTCTGATTTGCCACTGATATTCAGGATTATGATGGACGACAGGAAAGTTTAGAGTTTTCTGGGTAGGACTTTGGTGGTTTAAAATGGTATAAGTAACTTTATTCTTGAAAGAAGAATGTGTTTCAAACTGTAAACCAATTTTTTGTTCTTCAGACATCATGGAACACAAAACACATTGTTATTTTCAGTGATAACTCCTAAGATGAGCTGAGTTGTTGTTGTGGGTTCTATGTTTACTTCCCCTATGGAATTTATAATTCAATATGTTTTACACTGTACCATATAGCAAAACTTTTCAACTACAGGTAGTTAAGGGCCACCTACAATACATCTGAGGTCCTGTGATCTTATTTTTCTAAACGTAAGCACTGTTTTTCCATAGTTTTGATGACTGGCATTTTATAGACACCCTGGCAGCCTTACTTTTAACACCTTTAATGAATAGTATTTTTATGTAGTTTTCAGAATAACATATGGTCTAAGAGTGGATAAAAGGCAGTCAGTAATTTCTGGGAGGGACTTCTACTCGTAAATTTGTTTGAGAGGTTTTCTTTTAAAGTTGTAATGTGATGGCAGCATAGTATATGTATTTGTTTCTAAAAGTATGCTTACGATTGTCACTTTATCAGCATTTGATCAGTGTTAACCAGTCAGCAGAAAAATATAATTATGCTAACAGTAGGGGGAGAAAACCCACTTAGAAATCCATTTTCTGGTATTTCTTTTCACTAGTTTTTTTCAAGATGTGACCTCCCAGTGTTCTGTCCATAGTTCATTCATCTTTTACTCTTCGAGTAGAAGGTCTTAAAAGTCTTGCTGTTGGCTGTTTCTTTCAAAATCTCCTCAGAGCAATTGCTAATTTGACCTGAATCTGGTAACTTGAACCCTGCAAGGTTATAGAACTAGGGCTATTTATTTTAGTATTTCTTCAGTAGTATTTACTACTCTTGCTGCAAAGAAAAGGGAATGGGACTTCTTTGTAACCTGTACATTGGACAACAGATAAAAGACACAAAAAAATAAGAAAGTTTACTTTTACCCTTCTCGGAGTCTAGAATGTGACAGAACCCCCAAAGGAAGGTCCTGCACATTTTTCTGTTTCCAAAACATTTAACTCTGTAAGTCCTTGTCAGAAATGAATCTCAATCCCTTAGTATGGAATTCCCCTTACATGGCATAGGTTGCCATATTTCATGTGCAGATTTTGATTTCGTTTATGTGGGTGCTCTGTTTTTTCTTTGCAGTCCAACCACATTAGAGGGGAGGAACCGAGTGATATTGATTCAAGTCATTTTAGGGGGACATACTTGGAAGGCAGAACTTGCTGCTTCTGTTTGGGGAGGACAGGCCTGACTGTGACTGGATTATCTGATAACCATTTGTGAATACTGAAATTCTGTTAGCAGTAACTGATAACTACTCTAAAAGATCATTAAATAGGATGCTGAAATTATGTATCTTAATACAGTGTGGTATGAGAATTACCAAGTCAAGAGAATTGTAGACATAAGCAAGTTTGGCCCCAATACTGCTCTTAACTCATTTTCCAGCTTACCATTTGCTATTTAAATGGTAAGCACCAGCTAAGCACTTCTAAGCACTAACAAAACTAGAACTAGGCAAAAATTGTTAGAACTCAGCCCTCTTCTACCAGTCCCTATCATAATTATTTTTCGGAAAATGTCCAAACTGCCCCTTTAAATCTAAGGGAATGCACCAAAACAGAGATATACAGAATGTCAACCATTTCCTTTTTTTTTTCTGCATGCCTTGGTACATTGTGAACATACAACCTATTCAAAGTTAAAGCATGTTTTTGAGACTCTCTCACCCGCCCACTGCCAACCATTCCTGAATAATAAAATAATAATTGGAATGGCATTTTTTTTTTCCTTTTGGATGAGGTAAATAATTTTAAGGTTCACAATTTTGTCTTTTACTGCAATTTAAGGAAACATTTGGATGTCAGTCAATATGTTTATAATTTTGGCTGCGTGCAAATTTCTGCTGGCATTGTCTATGAATTTTCTTCCTGCTTTTTTTTTTTTTTCAATATATGAACAATCATGTATCTACCTGCCCCGGGATGGAACTGAATTTAGGTGGACCCTAAACAGTTGTGTAGTTCCCTGATGAAGACAGTGCTAGGCACTTACCTTTTCTGATTTCATCTTTTTGGGAATCTGTTTTACTGAAGGTAGTTAGTAGCTGGGAGTGCATTTGCTACAAGCATGTACTTGTATTTTCCTAGCTTCGTGAGGAACAGAAAGAGGTGGATATGGCTCAGGGTGTGGCAGGGACAAATGAGGACAAGGTCAATTCAAATTTGTGGGTCAGAAAGAATTTTTGTGGACATAGTGTTTTTGGAGAAACTCTGGATGGTTATATATGCATGCCTTCACAAAAGGAAATACGCAAGGTTGTAGCATCTAAAAATAAATATAAGAGTCAGACACCAAATAAATCAAGTTTTACATAACAGTTGTATGCCCAGTTTATTTAGGTGAGATTTCACATTACAGAAACTATTTGAGGAGCATGAAAATGGGTTATCTTCTGTATTTCCCAGTTTGGCAAAAGTTCAGAATTTCATCACGTTGCTTTGCCCTAATTTTGCCCAGAATTTTCTCTTAGCCTCTCTCTAATAGTGATGAGTCATGCATAAAAAGCCATTCTAATTGGACCTTTTTAAGACAGGGAAAGGGACCAGTAGGCAGATTGGAAGACATTTCAAGTCATTGAAATATTCCACTGAGATTTCCTAAAGGGACAAAATTGGGAAAATAAGAAACTACGACTTAGATTTGGCTACATAGTAGAAAGTATCTCCCCTACATACATATGTATGAATCATAGGGTATATGTGTGTGTGTATTACACACACATTCTTTTAAAGAGAATTCATGGAAAAAAAAAGCAGTTGGAGTGATCAGACTTATTGCGAAAACATACAGAGAATTTAAATGACAGTTAATACTAAGAAATTAGGTGGGTTTAGTTTATCAGGTTGTAATAGGAATCACTAAAGAAGTTACTAGTGTGTCTTTAGGACCAGTGGCAACTCTTAAATAAAACTTTGGGTCCTTATTATCTACCTACAGAACAACGTGAAACAAACAATGATTAAGCTGATTTGATGTAAATTCAAAGATATTTAATGTAAAGTTTTTTGGAATAGGAAGAAAATACAGAAAATAAATATTATCAACAGTTACCTATTAGCAAATAGAGAAAGACAAGAATAGTTTAGTGAGTCCAGTATTTTGTTTTTGTAGTTTTTATCTCGGTTGTACAACTCACAAAACCCTGCAGTCTTTGGTATTTTATAAATGTTTAACAAAATTTACATCAGATTAAGGCATTTAGATGAAAATTATGTTCTCACTATCTTCCAAATTTTATTTCATCCTATCTCCAAAATGATTTCTTAGGGTAGAAAAGGAGCAGAAGGGGCTGTAAAAATACAAACAAAAAACTGTGTGCCCCTAGTTTCAGGCAGAACTTAAACTGTCAGAGGTACTAGCTACATGATTTGTTTTTGAACTTTGGATTGTTCACGTCCAAAAATTGATAAATTACATTTGTGTTTATCATCAATTATATTTTATATATTATTTTAATAAATACTATCTGAATGAAGACTATTCTAAACCAGAAAATTCCCCAAATCCAAAAGAAAAAAAATGTGGGAGGGGGTGAAATTGAAGTTTGTATATATGAAAGTTATCTTAGAAATATTTTTAATTCTCCAGTTTCTGCAAAATAATTAAAATATACAGTAACTGGCCTCCTAAATCCTGAATTTAATGTATTGAATACTTATTTTCTTTATGTTGGTGCCTTTTTAAAATGCATTGAGAGTGTTGGTTAGCTGTCGCAGCTCTACAATACTTTTAATATGCATTTTTAAAAATCACTTAAAATTGAGCACTGTATAATTCATCCCTGTGTTTTTAGGGCAAATCTTTAGAGCAATTTCTAATAGAGAAATTTTCAGCTCAGCTGTTAAAAGGAAAAGGAAATTTTGAAACTAGACTTTAATAATACCTTTTTAGTTTCATAGTATTTCTGAATATGATTACAAGATTATGCAGGTAAAATATAGAGTGAAACTTTACCTGTGAATTGAATTATAATTTGTTTTTTGTTTTGTTTTTAAGGAAGAATAAGTCCTGTATCAAACAAGAATTTATTAGATAATTTTTTGGTCAATAAAATACAGTGTTGATTTGGATTTTCATCTCCAGACTAGTATTGTTCTAGTCTTGGAATCTGTATTTTCTAATCTGTTAGAAAAGAGATTGAAAATTGATGGAATAATGTGAAAAAGCAGGTAATTAATTCTCCTTGAACAAAGCAAAACTGAACAGTCATATCACATTGCTATTCTCCAAAGCATAATTTCAAATGGTTTCATACCATGGTTGTGTATTACTTGTAATGAGCGTGTTAGGATATGACAGCTTTTTAAAAAAATGAGCTGCTGGTTATACAAAACAAATGGCATATGACCAAGAAGCTGTGATATGCTAGTGTTTCTTTTTATCATAGCGTATTACTAGGCCAAATAATGACACCTTGAATATTTTTACATTTATTGCAGAAACCGTAAACTTTGGAATTTCCATAAGGTTTTTATGTAATACTATATTTCTAGCTTTTTAGTTTTATCTTGCTGTACTGTAAGTTTGAGGATATTTTTCACATGCACTCTTAGGAATAAGTTCATAATTCTGTTTATGGGGCTTTCCTCCCATAATACTGCGTTTGTATATTTTCTGTATAAATGTGTTGTGTATTAACCTTTATCCCATACAGAGAGTGGTACAAGAATGACTAGTTTTCTAAGATGTCCTTTTTATTGTGAACACAATATAAAATCTAGAGGCCCTCTGCTAAGCCACATAAAGTACAGCATATAACTTCGTATAGGTACAAATAAGCAAGTTTGCAGTGAATTGGGCCTTCAAATTACCTCAAATGACACACAGTAAGAAAAGCTTCTTGAGCAGGTGGAGGTCACTGAATCCCCTACTATGCACTTACCAAGATTTTACTTACTTTAATTTACTGGAAATTGATTTTTTAAAAAAAATGAGTACACTGTAACAAGGGAAGGGATCTGGGTTTTGTTGTTGTTTTATTCTTGCTTTTTAACGTAGCTCAAATTCTGAAACTGTGATTTAAAAATTTTTGACAGTGAAGCATTCTGATTTTAAGCATAACTCCCATCCCTTTCTGTGTAACAAAGGTCTCTCTGTTATCTCTTAACTTTTGTCACATCTCCCCCAGCCTCTTTCTTTGTCCATCTCCCTTCTGTCATTGTCTATGGATGTCTTTACCTCTCTGTTCTCCTAAAAGTTTGAAGATTAGGTCAACTCTTATTTCTAGTTCATTGGTAATTTAATCTTAATTTTTTTGTTCGTGATTTTTGTTGGTTGTATAATCTGCTGACGTATTTTTATACTCAAGTGTAGTTTTCTATTAAAAAGAAAAGTGGTTGGATTAAAAATAGTAAGCTATATAACCCTCATGTTACTTTCACTTTCAAATATTGGATACCTAAAACATTACTTCAGAGATTATGTAATCCTATTATAGTCTGTTTGCTTTCCTTTATTGTTGGATTTTACATTCTGATTTGGCTTTCCTCCAAAAAATGTATATCATGAAAGACTAGACAGTTATTTGCAAGTGTTTAGAAAGGTGTTAAAAATGTAAAGCAAAGAGTCTTAACTTTCTCCTAATTGGGAGAAAAATGCTTTAACATTACTATAATAATATTCCAGGTTTGGAGGGGGTCTCCAGGCCCCATATTTGCTGTTAATAGTTGGACCTTTTAGACCATGTGTTATTTGCAATCCCAGAATGATTGCTTCTGCTATTAGTTAAAAAGATACTATTCTTTTCTTTCTGTACAAGTGCAATACTCCCCTTGAAGTCTTAAAAACTATGGTGATTTTGTTTTTTCTTTTCTAACCTATTCTTCCTTTAGCTAATGGCAAAAAGAAACTCATAAAAGTCATAGTATGTTAAAGGACACAACAAGCAAAGAGAAAGACACTCCACAATCAAAAGATTACAGAATGTGGAAACCACTAGTCTGATCTCATGGTATCTTTATTTAGGCTAAATTTCCATGGAAATTAGTAATCTTTTGCTTGAAAAATGTGTCCTAAAGTTGAACTTTTTACAGATTGAACCTTCTTAGACCCTCGCCCAATGCTCTAAATTAAGAACCTAATACTTAATATTTTTATTTCACTTCTCTCCTTTTAGAAATAAACTTTTAAACAAAAGCAAAGCACTTAGCTGAGTTTTAAACACTTACATATCACCTATTGGAGAAAAATTTTTAAAAAATATTTGGAGCAGTCCTGTTTTCATACAAATTTAAGTAAGAAGTATTTTTCTTATACGTATTTATATGTAGTGTGCTAATTTTCTTTTTTTATACCTGTGTCCCTGTAGTTAAACTGCTGTAATATAAATACATGTTTTTTTAAAAGATAACATTTCTTTGGCATTTCTTTTAAAGGCAGTTACTGCATTTCTGCATTTGTACAGTATGTGTCTTGGCCGTTTTAGATATTTTTTCTTTAACAATACCAAAGGTAATTAGACTATTTTAAAGACTAATTGCTTGACAGTTTCTAGGATATTTTGTGTTTTAGAAACAACAAAAAAAAAATAGGTCAAACCAGTAAACCTCATTTTTTTTCAAACTAATAATTTGGGGAAATAAAAACTATTGTTTAAAAAAGAAATATATATATATATATATAAATATATATGTAAAGTTAAAATTCCAGACCTTGTACGTCAGGTTTGCTAAGTGTAATGTAGTTTTTTTAAGGCTCAAATACCATACCTCAGAAAATGAGGTTTACTATGGAAATACTGAAACAGTCTTTGCAGCTGTGTGACAAGTCACTCTACTACATACTGATTTGGAGACCTCCGCTAAACACTTTTATCACTGCAGACTAAAATGTGGGACTTGTATTTTCTTTGTTTTTAATGCACACACATACATGTTCTGTGCATGTATGTGGTTACTGTGTATATGTGTATGAGTGTTGTATATGCATGTGTGAGTGTGTGTCTGTATGTGTGTACAACTAAAGAAGCTGCAGAAACTTTGTAATACTTTGTGAAAAGGATTATATTATAAAGGTTTGTACTGTCTGAGTGCACAGCTACTGGAATAAATTTAGGGAATCTCAGGAACAAGCATATAATTTGTCCAAGATTTATTTCTTCTCAGAAGTGTAAGTGCAGTTTTTAATTCTGTATATTATTTAATATTTTACCAATAAAATAAACTTCTGACATAAAAAGTTTGCTATAAAAACTTTCTGGTGAAAATTCTGTACGCAAACATGTCTTCCAATTACAGAAGACTAAACTGTTGACTATACCAGGCTTAAATTACCATTCCCATTGTGTATTTGTCACACTTCCGGTTCCAGAGGTTTGGATACATGTGATATCCACAAGCTACATCTCAATCATTAGTCATCTCCATCATTGCTACGTAGTCCACCAGAGCAGAGAACAAAGTATTACATGATTTGTTAAGAATGACATCTTTGCTCTTTAGACAGCTTTCATACGTATCTTATTTCACTTTTAAAACAAATAGAGGAGTGTACATCAGAGCCCATCCCCTTTGTATAGAAGAAAATAGACCTGAGGAAAGAAAATTGTGACTTACTCCAAAGCACATAGTAGTGCACTTAAATTACACAAGAGGTCTGAGTGCTCTGATATGGTCAATAACACTACTAGAATAACACTACTGCTATAGAAACCAGCATTTCTTAGAAGTCAGACAAAGATAAAATTAAGAAGTCATAGCAATTATTCAATCACACTGGCAAAAACTGTTTGCCAGTTCTGCTTCCTGATGTACATTCACTACGTGAGTCACACATATCTCTTTGTTTCTTAGATTTTACAAATGTAATTTATCTTTTGCCATGAGAAATTTGTTCTGTTATAAACATCTTCATAACCAGAAATGCAAAAGGGCATATATGACTGCAAATTCATTTTATTGAGTGTTAGCTATCCACTATCCTTCAGGTCAATTTGAACTCCACCATCGCATTTGAGATAGCTGTTAGAGTTTTTCCTCATTGATACGTATTTATAGAATTTCATGGATACTTACACATTCCCCAATAATTTCACTTCCACGTGTCACACAGAATGAAAAATACCACAAATTCAAATAAAAATTTCCTGCCTTGACTGTATCATAATTCAAAATACTAAGCTAATTTGGGCAGGGGAGGATGTAAAGAAGTGAAATAGCAAAGCAAAAAGAAGAAAAACTTACCAAATCATCCTCCAGTATTAAGTTTATAAAGGATTCCTTCAAGATCAGCAAGGAATATCAAATCCCCCTGGTGTATTATATCAACAGGAGCCAAATGAAAAGGATTTCTTGAAATATGTGCCATATGCTCTTGACTTTTCAATTGCAATATGGTCAGAGAAATTATAAATAATTTAAATCTTGATATGATTGTAAGACTTTTTATCAGCATGCTCAAGCCAGAAGACTGTTCTTGGGGTGTGAACCACATGGTGAAAGGATTTCATCTAGCATTTTAGCAACCCTCCCTCCTGCTATTAGGGGGTTCCAAATGGACCCGTTAAACTTCCAGGAAAATCCCCTTTTTTGTTAATACCCTTACTGAAATTTCCCAGTGTGTTTATTTAACTTCACTAGAGGTTCCAACGAAGGTAACAATTGGTGATTTTGAATTTTCCTACTTTTCTCCTGTTTGGCACTACACCCAAGGGAGAGATTTCAATAAAATAGCCTAACTGGCAAATGGGAGAAATCAACAAAGAGGACAAAGTTATTTGGACATCCATTATCCCATATAAAAATGGGTAAAACCTGGGGGAGATCCTGGAAAATAAAGATGTGTTCAGTCTGAGAAATATTAATGTGTTAACCTTTTTCTTCTTGCTCTTATTGCTGCTTTATAATCCTAAACTGTCTTCGATCAGACCAAGTGCTTCTAACTTGAAATTTGTCAGGCAAAGGACAAATCCCTCAAAGCAGTACAAACGGATACTGCCCATATTGGTGTTGAGTTGTTTGTTCTAGAAATCCTTAGAAGAGCTGCATGAACCTGATCATCAAACCAAATGGAATGTCTGTGAAGAAGCAAGAGGAAGAACCAAAGGTAAAAGGGAAGTAACTTAAGAGTATTTGTGTTGGATTTCATGGGGCCTTTGGTAAGCCTGTGATGGAAGAGGGAGGAGTCACTGTGTTGTCATTTCACCTCACCAGATGGAGTTGGGATCAGAATCAGCTGCCTCCACCGGGAATACTTAGTGAAAACCCTTCATTGGGAAGTAGGAGAATTTAGCTAAGAGGGAATGGCAACAGAGTTCATATTGTATCAATGCCCTAGGCCCACTTATTGGTTCTGGTTTTGTGGACATAAAAGGTTAAAAGACTTTGATCAATATCTATCTGTTCTCCTTGACCCTGTCACAATTCTAATTACTCTAAATAAAACACAATATTTTTCAATGTGAGAAATTTAAAGCAACCACAATATGTGAGTTTTAACCATACCCCTTTTTACAAGTACTTTGCAAATGAGCATGATTGTTCCTGACTTCATCTAATTCACTCTCAAAATGCTCATGGAAAGTGTAGGGTATCTGATACTTTATCTTCATTTTATTGGCAAGGAAACAGATTCAGGTTGGTTGTGATTTTGTTCACAAGCACCCCAATCAGTGAAAATGCTAAAACTAGACTCTAATTCCATTTGTACTTAGTTTAGTGTTTTAATTTCTAAACCAGTTTATCCACCATTTGATTGATAAACCTAATTAATAAGAGAATCAGCAGGCATACTTTAAAAGTAATGTTTTGTTTTTCTAATTTTTAAATAGAATTATCCCAAATGAACTCACTAGCATAGTCATTAGGACTGAGAAATATAGTATTGGGTAGCAAGGCAAAAATCATTTGAAATTAAAATACTGTTGCAGAAATTTTTTAAATGAATAAATTTTCCTAGCTTGGTCTTCTAAAGACCCCTTTGTGACCCAATTTAAATAAATGTGGGCTTTTGATTACTTACTAAATTTCCTTCAGAGTTGATGGAATTCTTTGCCATTTCCTAAATCACTATATCTCATCCCCATACTCATTTTCCTTAGTTCTTTCATTGCAGAATGTACTTTCCAATATTTATACTTTGTTTTTTGCCTTCTCTTCATTTGAAAACCTTCACCTGACTCATCATTAAATCTATGAATTTATCAGTACTGGAAGTTTATCAGTACTGTCAGTGATATCCTAGTGTTTTCAGTGATGTCATTGTCATTATGTCTTCCAAATTCAATGAGCAGCCTGGAGATGGTGCTTATTCTTCTTAGGTGCTAAAACCTATCTACTAAGTTATCTCTTTACTGTTAATTCTGTAGCATAGAGCAATATCAAGATTCGCCCTCAACCCCAACTCTGTTCATTGTGAAATGAGTGATATATTTATGGTAAAATCCAACCTTATGTTGTCTGTCCTTAGGAATGAGACATGTACTACCATTTGGTCAAAGCCAAGACAAGTTTCCTCAGTCTTCAAGGGATGGTTGCTGTAGTAACACCTAGCATTATGTTCTCCTTGCCTTACTTCTCCAATGTGAGTAAATAACATTTTTTTGGCCTTCAAACAGTCTATTCTTTGTCTCTCTGCTTCTCCTCACCCCACCCCTCTACACAGCCCCTCCCCACTCCACCTCCCTTCACTGTTTGTTTGTTTATTTGTTTCAGATTGTACTGCATATATATTACTATCATTTGATAACACTCAAGAGGAAAAAAAGTGGGACAGCAAATGACTCATGTTTTTCCAAGCTCTTAGCCAAATTACTTTTTAGTCATCCTAACAAATGGGAGTTTGGCTATACCATAACACTAATACGTTTTCCAAGCTGCAAGTAGAAGCCCAGAGTCTGCTGCTTTCTTCTTTAATGTCTTCACAAGTCTGATTATAGCTAAGAAAGTGATCACTTGATCACATAACAAGCATGAGAAAAATTCTGCAGGCAAGGCTAAAGGAAATAATATATTCTTTATTTGCCTTGAAGAATTCAAGTAGCTTTCTTGGGTCTTTAATATATGAAATGGGTCATCACCTAATTCTTTTGAAAAAAAGATGAGCTCTGTATTAGATCCCTTATGCTTTTTCCTGTTTTTACTTGAAATTGCAAAAATGAGTGCACAATAATATAGTCAATGCACACTACAGTATGCTGACACATTGTCTGCTCTAATTGGAAAAAAAGTCATTTTGACTCTTAAAAATTATGATTAAGCATCATATTGAGAGACTAGCCACCATATTCAATATGATATCTCTCAGCCTTAACTAAATGCCCATTTGTGTTAACATATTTTGAATGATTAATTTATCCTGGTTCATAGTTTCCAATCTATAGAGAACAAAATCTTAACACTAAAGAGCTTGACATAGTGTAGTGAGCTTGAGCTATATAAAAAACCTACTAATACGTCATTCCATCAGTGTAGATTATCTTAATGCTGTGGGATTTTTAAATGAGCAATCTGTCATAAGTATGTTCGGACACTCTGTATGTTTGGGTTAATTATATTATACTCCTTTTTCTGACTCTTAGAACATAAACATGGCATGATCAGCCCAGTTCAAAAAAAAGAAGCACTTGAGAACTCCCAGAAATGAACAAGATAATGAAGGCTATGTATTTTCCTTTCTGTACTCACATGGTTCATATGAGTATCAGTAGGACTTGCCAGCCACATTTCCAATGTGTGTATAACTCAAGTACAATTATTAGTCATAACATGGAAGTTTATAAGTAGCTTTGGGCAATACTAGTGTCCCACGGTAGTTAGGCACATCCAAGCATCATGTATTAGTAATGGCAATCTATCAGCCTACCCCTGGACAGCAAGTGTCACCTATAATAATACATCAGCACAGGATTAGGGAACAACTAGTATAATTTATTTACTTGCTATGTTTTATTTATTTATTTATTTAGAGACAGAGTCTTGCTCTGTTGCCCAGGCTGGAGTGCAATGGCATGATCTTGGCTGACTGCAACCTCCGTCCCCCAGGTTGAAGCAATTCTCCTGCCTCAGCCTCCTGAGTAGCTGGGATTACAGGCTCCCATCACCATACCCAGGTAATTTTTGTATTTTTAGTAGCGATGGGGTTTTGCCATGTTGACTAGTCTGGTCTCAAACTCCTGACCTCAGGTGATCCACCCGCCTACGCCTCCCAAAGTGCTGGGATTACATGTGTGAGCCACCACGCCTGGCCACTTGCTATGTTTTAAATCTGCAGACTTTTTATTTCTATGTATCTGCTGTTTGTTCTTTAGTTCTCTGTATGCTGGGTTATAAATAACCTTCGTTTTTCTCAGAAGCAAAGCCTTTTTTTTTTTAACTTTTTTTATGTAAGACTAATTTTCAATATTTTGAACCATGTAAATTACAAATGCAATAGGTGGGAGAATTGGCCTAGTGACTGTTTTGCACTTCTAAATTTGTTTTGGTCTATGAGACCTAAATTCATTCCATTTGTCAAGACTATTATGGCAGAACTCCATAATAAAACTTATTTGGAGAAACAAGGACAGCTCCATCATTGGCCATCTGAATGACAGTAAGAGTGAATGACTTATCCTACCTCATTTATCGCTATGTACCAGGCAGGCCTGATTTATATGTAGCAACACCTTTCATGACAGCAAGGCCTTTGAATATTTTACTATAAGTAAAGTAAAACTATAATGGGCCTAAGTGTAAAAAAAAACCTTATCATTTTATTGAGTGATATAAAACATAGAGTATCTCAAGATTATGAAAGAATGTACACATTTTAAAACCTAAATTTAAACCCAAATTCAAGATAATTTTAATTTAAACCTAAGTTCAAGGTGAAGGGAGTAAAATATTATCCTTTAAAGATGTAAGGTTTTTGCTTTTTTTCTTTTGAGAACCCTGAAAACATTGCCTGATAAGTAGTACTAGAAGTATAAAAAACAAGTAGGGAACAACGTATCCACATATTCTTTCTAGGATTCTGGCTCAGTGACATTATTTGTTCTAGGATTCCTAGTAAGGCCACTTTGTGTCCTTGGAGAAATTTAAGTAAAGTCTGCAGAATTAGCCTGTAGGATGAGACGAGGATAGAATGTGCAGATGATTTAGTTCTCAACATTAAATTTGAGTCTACTTGGAAAATTGGGTAGATCATAAGCTCTGTCCTTTCTTTCGATACTATCTCTTTCTTTCTGAATGATTGGCTCCTGTTACAGTGTCCACAAGAAAAAATATCTAAAATTTAGGAAGTAGAGTATTTATTGCGTGCAAGCCCCTTGACTAAATACTGTAGGAAGTTCATTCATTTATTCAGTACTTCCAATGTGCTGGTCTAGGTGCTTAGCACATAATATCGAATAAGACACAACCCCTGTATTCAAGGATACAAAAATCTTACAGTGAGGAAGCAAACAAATAATTAAGCATCATAAAACATGATAATTATTACCATAAATATAAAAGAAATATACTATGGAAACAAATGGGTGGGGAACCTAATTCAGCCTGAGACTAAGAAAAATATGTCCTGGTAGAAGTCACAACTAAGCTGAGTCCAAAAAGATAAGCAAAATTAAATTTCACAAAGAGGGAAAGATAAAATAGGAAAATGGAAAACATGTTCTAAGCAGAGGAAAGACATCTGCAAAGTCCTGGAAGAGACAGTGGGGCAGACAGGGAAAGAAAAGAAGAGTCCAAGAGAGACAATGACAGAAACAGAGAGCGAATAAATATGAATGGTTACATTCAGAGAATTGCGTGTTCAGTATGGCTTGAGTGTAAGATGAGAACAAGAGATGAAATTGGGGAGTTGAGCAGAGTTGCATATTAGGGCTTTGTGTTTCAAAATGAAGGAATTTGAATTCATACCAAGGGAAACAAGGACCAACAGAGGCCCTATTTGGAAGTGATATGATTAGATTTGCAAAATTGCTTGGGCTTCAATATGAGATGAGATTGGAGGGATGCCATACTGGAAGTAGAAGCTGCTGCAGTAAATCCTAGAAAAAGATAATCGTGGCTTGTGCTATGGGAGTGTTCTGGAAATGGAGAGAGAGAGATTCCAAAGATGTTTAAAAGGTGGAAAGTACTAGTCTGCTCTGTGCTGGATGTATGTGGGTAGTGAGGAAGGGTGTTAATTAAGGATGATATCCTGGTTTCTGACTGGGAAGGTTAGGTGCATGGTGGTTCCACTTACTCAGATCAAAAAACACAAGGGGAAAAATAGATTTTAGGAGTAGAAAGGTGATGAACATGCTGAACCTGTTGAGTGTGAAATACCAGTATCACATTCAAGTAAAGATATCTAGTAGGAAATTAGAGATACCAGGTTAATATCAGGAGAAAGATCTGGGCTTAGATCACACACACACACACACACACACACACACACACACACACACACACACACAAATGCATATACAGTCATGTGTTGCTTAAGGACAGGGATGTTGTTAGGCAATTTCAGTGTAAACAGTACAGAGTATGTATGTAGTTCTCATGCAAACCTGGATAGTATAACCTACTGCTCCTAGGCTACAAACTTGTACAAAAAAGTGGTCCTAGAGATGCCTATACAAGTAAAAGAGATTATCTAAAAGCTGTGTGGGAATATAGGGTTGTTATATAACTGTGTAACCTGCCTCTTAGTGAGACCTTAAGCATTACTATATGGAACATAGTAGGTAATTATAATACAGATCACTAGGCAATAGGAATTTTTCAGCTCTATTATAATCTTATGAGAGCACCATCCTACATGTGGTCTGTTGTTGACTAAAATGCTGTTATACAAGGTATGACTATATATACCTATGTATATTTATGGTAATTGAAGCTACAGATTTGATGAGATCAACTAGGGAGAGTACACTAACATAGAAAACATTAAAGTCAAACTCATGGAGTTTGTAAAGTGTAAGAAAAGTTCTACCAAGGAATTCCTTCAGGAGAAGGAATAAGATTCATGTGAAAATTAGTATAAAGAAAAGCTGTCACAGAGGGTCAAAATATAGGTACTGGCAGTATGCAGTGGCTCACAACTGTAATCCTAGCACTTTAGGAGGCCAAGGTGGGAGGATCACGTGAGGCCAGGAGTTCGAGACCGGCCTGGGCAACAAAGCAAGACCCTATCTCTACAAACAATTTTAAAAATTAGCCAGGTGCAGTGGTGCACACCTGTAGTCCTTGCTACATCAGAGGCTGAGGCAGGAGAATCGCTTTCACCTGGGCATTTGAGGCTACAGTGAGCTGTGATTGTGCCACTGCATGCCAATCTGGGTGATGGAGTGGTACCCCATCTCTAAAAAACCAACAAAATCAAACAAACAAAAAAAAAACCCAGAGGTACAAGTTACCTGGGACTCCTAGTAGGAGAAGGTTTGGGTGGCAAAGAATAGACTCCTGGAAACAGGGTTATTGAAGAGAGATTCTAAAATTGTATTGGGAAGTTTTCAGAAAGACAACTAAAGACTTAGGTGGAAATCATGGTACAGAGTAATTTTAAGAGAAATGTACCTTAATTTTCAGTTCCTTTGAGTATGAATGTGTATTAGAAACAGAAACAAAGAGCAGAACCAGAGGGCCCGAACTTCCACTGAGCACAGCTTGGTTCAGAGAGTCCCTGAATACCTCAGCGGGGGTCTGAGGAGTCTAGGCATGTGTCTTTTCTGTCATAAATGTTCAGAGGGTTTTTTTGTTTTGTTTTGTGGGGTATAGGGTAAAGTAGTATTTAAAATTATTCTCTTTATAAATGTGGCATATACAAATGTAAAAAGTAGGTATATATTTGCACTTACCTATTTGAATGTGTCATGTATTATCATCTCCTTTTGAGCTGGAGGTTATCAGAGAGCATCTCAATTTATAGAAATGGAATCTGAGGCCTTCAGCATGAGTCTTTGGGTGAATTTATTTATACAAGCCTGCTTTCTTAACAACTAGTTGGTCACATGACTGGAAACTAGGGTTTCGTCATAGTCCATGATGCTCAAGGTCACACTGAGAGGCAGGATGTACAGTTATAGAACAGCCCTATATCCCCACACAGCTTTTAGACAATCTCTTTTACTTACACAGGCTTCTCTAGGACCACTTTTTAACCACAATCTATTACTGATCTTCTGGTAAACTGCATTCCTTTTAGCAAAATTAACTAAGTTTCCCATCTATTATCATACAGGTCGTTACCCCCACATTTGTAAATTAACGGGGTGTATAAATGTATGATGCCCAAGTAAATATTATTATTTTCACAGGCTACATAAGGAAGACATCTTGCAAATATGATATAAAAAGAGCCTTTATATCAAATTGTAATATATTAATATGTCATTACAAATTAATAATCCTAAGAGAGAACATCTTCTGCATATCCTATAATAAAAGATTTCAAAATATTTTAAATGTCTATATAAGAATTTTTATAGGAGTTCATTATGGGTGACAACATTTCACATAAGAGAAAATTTATGACAAGATTTCTAAGTAAAACTAAACCCACTCATGGGTTTATAATTATTATTATTTATAGCAGTACTGTACAGTAGAAATGTAATATGTACCACAAATACAAGCTGCATGTGTAATTAATTTTTCTAGTGGCCACGTTAAAAATATTTAAAATATATAAAATTAATTTTAATGTATTTCATTTAATCCAATATATCTAAAATATCATTTCAACATGCATGCATGTAAAAACTTATTAGTGATATGCTTTACCTTCTTTGTTTTTTATACTAAGTCTTTGAAACCCAGTGTGTATTTTACATTTATAGCATATCTCAATTTGGGCTACATTTCAAGGGCTCGAAAGCAGATCTGTGGTCTATCCTAATAATTACATTGAACTATATAAATACTCCTGCTTTATAACAATAACCACAGCTACCTTTTATTGAGTCCTTGTTATGTGGTAGTCACTATGATAATTTCCATGTTTTTCTTATTTCATCTTCAAAGCTATCATGGAAATTCCATTGTCACCCATATTTTCTAGATGGAATAACAAGAGACTTCAAAGGATTTAACGGCCTTGCCTGAAACTGTGGAATTAACAATTGATAGACCAGGGATTCAAATAAAAAGATTTATATGTACATTGAAATAAGGTATATAAATTATTATAATATAGTATAAAATGTTATTTAAAATTATTATTTTATGTTTTTATATGATTTCATATTTATAATTTTTCAGTAAAGATAGCCAATTCAGTTGTAGGAGAAAGTAAATTTGTGGTAAAGTGATTTGATAGTTGGAAAAGTTAGACCACTGCCCCACTGAACTTGTGGAACAGTAAGAGAATTTATAAATACTAAAAAAAGAAAAATAAACAAAAGAAATTATGTTGCAGAGATAATGATATTGAATAAAGTAGCCACAGGGCCTTATTTCCTTGCCAAATAAAACCAAAAAAATGAATAGAGGTGGGAAGAATAATAGTATATCCTGGATGCGTTTCAATGAGATGATATAGAAGACAATTAATATGTGATGCAATGCACTAAGTTGTTGAACCTCTACATTATTAAGTGTGTGGAAAGAAAATCAGTGACAAGGGTTGGAAAACTAGAGAATTGATTTTGGTCTGAATTTTCTAAAATACGAAGTTAGGAATTTGAGAGCCAAGAGATTCGGCACAAGATATGACATCTGAAGAACTCAGATGAAAATTAGCCAATCTGATTTGAATAAAACTAAAGATGAATGTGGTGTTCAGTGGTATGGAGTTGGAGGTCCAGGAAAATCATTAACAAAAAGATGTTCTGTCCTTCTCATGATTCTATGGGGTTTCTCTACTCTTCACTATAACGTCACAATGGCTTGTTCTTCCTTCAAGTATGCCTATTTTTTATTTGAATCTGCTCCTTCAATCTCACTGGCCTTGAAGTCTGCAAATTAGACCCCTTTTTCCAAACACTAAGCCATATTTTCCCAACCATTCAAGATACACTTGGAATCAATCTACTCCAGGAAGTCTCTCCAAACCACATATGGAAAATATGATATCTTCTATGGAGGAAGACAGTGGCATGGATAATTCATACAAATGTTCTCATTGCATGGGTTAAGTATTACCATAAGGTAAGCCAATATCCTTGGGTCTGGTTTGCTTTACCATCTCTTTCCCACCTCAGCTTCCACATACCTCTGCTTCAGACCACGTAATCCTTATTACACCAGTTTGTATCCTTTCTTCTGAGCATTCTGGCCTCTGCCTCTCTTGTTTACTGTTTACCTAGGAGTCTATTTTTTAAAATCCCGCAAAAGCAATATTAATATTCACAAGCAGGTGGCAAGTAAAAAGAATTGATTGGGGCCCAGAAGGCTTTACTTCCTAGAAGAGGTTTCATCTTACTAGCTGATTCAAAGACACGTAATAGAGTTGAAAGAGAGCATGAGCTTTGACATACAGAGCAAGGAAGTCCCAAGAGTTATTTGCTTTGTTAATATTACTTAAGCTGTTTAATCTTTCCAGCCTCAGTTTCCTCATCTAAAGTGATATCAAGGATAACTATATGGCACAACTATTTTATTTATTCATGTATTTATCAATTAATTTGAGAATGGAAATAGCATGTGTCATTTATATATTAAAACAAGATATAAAAATACAAATGATTTCTTGCCTTCAAGAGATATGTAATAGGTTAATGGGAAATAAAAAAAAAAAATCAGATGTTAGAGTATTTTAAAGTGGTATGTTTGCAGTAAGTGCAGGTATATTGGAGGCAGAAAAAGGGAAATTACACATTTTTCTTTGGAGGATAAAGAAATCATTCAGGAAAATCAAGCAGTAGTAAGGGTTGACACTTGAGCTACAGTGGAGGAAGGATGTAATTATTCTAGATATTTCTTAATATATTCATTTATTCATTTCTTTATTCCTTCCGCAAATATTTATTGTGTGCCCAGTACATGGTAGTGAAAGTAGGGATGAATAAAAAAGAGATGGTCCTTTCTAAGACATGCGTATTTCTTCCGTTGTCACAGTACTTACAGTCAATGTGAAAGGAAAACAACTATGTTAACAGAAGTGCTCTTAATAGATCTCCATTTAACTGAGTTGGCAAATTAACCAATATGATCAATTTCCTTTGCAAAACACTCTGATTAACATTCAGGGCTCAGGGAAAGCTCACAGCTAGTAGATGATGCTCCAGTAAGCCTACCCATTTTTCTCATTGGTTCTGTTGCATGCTTGCCAGGAATTAGTTGTGTTTATTCCCAAACCATTGCCAGTTGACTTCGTATTGTAACCATGTAATAAAAATAACATTGCTTCAGTAATTCAATGAAATAGAGTATAAAATGAAAGAATTGCTTCTTTGAAAATTAACTTGAATTTTTTGGAGAGATTCAATAAAGGAGAATTGCTAAAAGCTTTCCTATGAAATTAGGTGGAGGAGATACAATGAACAAAGACTCAGAAGGAAAAAAAAAAAAAAAAAACCTTTAATAATCCAGAAAGTTCACATTTAGATTGGTTTGCAAATATGTTTTTTTTTAGTTTAAAGAAAGTGAAATTGGAAATTATGGATGGTACACTATCGTAAAGAAAGACTGCCTGGATCTTCAGTCAATGGACCTGTTTCCAAATTAAAGGCTATATCCTTAAATTTAAAAATAGGTGAATGAATAACTGTATTATATTAAAATAAATGTTTAAGAAATGTAAATATCTATGCTTCTTAGATTTGAGTCTATTTTAATATTAGCAATCATATGAGATAAGAGGGCTTCTAGTAAAGAAACATATGTTGTGGATATGTTGTGGTATGGAATGTATTAAGAGCTTGGAAATCTACAGTGGAGGACATGATCAATCCTAGAGAATAGGAACTCTGAAATAGATTGAGCCAGGCAAAGAAAAGGGGTAGGGACAAGAGACCATTCAATGTAAGCAAAACAGAGACAAAAAGAGACACAAGAGGCCGGGCGAGGTGGCTCACGCCTGTAATCCCAGCCCTTTGGGAGGCGGAGGCGGGCGGATCACGAGGTCAGGAGATCGAGACCATCCTGGCTAACATGGGGAAACCCCGTCTCTACTAAAAATACAAAAATTAGCCGGGCATGGTGGCGGGCGCTGGTAGTCTCAGTTACTTGGGAGGCTGAGGCAGGAGAATGGCGTGAACCCAGGAGGCGGAGCTTGCAGTTAGCTGAGATCATGGAGCCACTGCACTCCACCGTGGGCGACAGGGCGAGCCTCCGTCTCACAAAAAAAAAAAAAAAAAAAAGGAGAGAGAGAGAAACACAAGAGGTCCAGATACAAGCTGGACCATATAGTGTGAAAGTACACATGGTACATCATCTGGGCTGGTAGTGGGGGCCAGAACTAGATCTTAGAAAGCCTTAAAAGTCATAATAAGTCTTTGAACTTTATCTTGAAGGGTTTTAATTTAGGGGGTTATATTATCAGATTTGAAGAAAAATAGATGAGCCTAGAGCAGGATGGGTTGATGAGGGACAACATTGGAGCCAAGAGATTAAGTAAGAGATGATGGCAGCCTGGGGTAAGATGGCTGCAATGGAATTGTCACTATGTGATGAATTTTAGAGATATTTGTGAGATATAATCAACAAGATAAGGTAACTAGTTGTAGGGGTCAAATATATCTCCTCAATTCTCACTGAAGAAATTGGGTGAGTGGTGTCATTTATACAAGTGTGCAACTTTAATGAAAAAGAGGTTGGCTAGGGAGGGTTGGAGGATGAGGAATTCCCTTCTGAAAACACTATGTTTATATCATGTACAAGACCCTTAAGTTGGAAAGTCTTACGGGCAATTGTATATAGAGGGTTCAGGAAAGAGGTAAGCTTAGAAGAGGATTATTTGGTACTTGCACATAGATAGTAATTGAAACCATAAAGACTAGAGTGGATATCCCAAAGAGAGTTAGTAGAATATAAAGATAATTGAAGAAAAGAAAACTGCTCAGGAAAGAGTCCTGGGGGCAGAATATTGAACTATAAGTAGAAGAAAAATCACCAGAAAAGGAGATTAATAAAGGAGCAGCCAAAGAATTAGGAGGAAAGGAAGTGTTCAACGTGTTCATTGCTACTAAGTGAAAAATGCCCAATGGATTCAGGAGTATATAGGTCATGGGTGCCCATATTTGAGGGTACATTCAGGGGAGGGTCTGGAGCTTAAGGCAAACTCTTGTGGGGTGAGGAGTGAGAGGAAAGGGAGAAATGGGAGATGGAAAATGCCATTATTTTGTTATTTCAAGAGACATATGCCTAGTGGAGTATATAAAAAGGAAAGCCTGAAAAAGCTGAAAAGGATAGGTCTAAAAGATCTTAAATGCCAAGCTAATGGGAGTTGTATTTTTTCTCATAGAAAATTCAGGGCAAAGAGTAACGTCTATCTAATAGAAACTACATACTTTGACAATAGTGTAGGGAATGGAATTATTGTGGGATGAGAGGGTTAGTAAAGGAAGTTAGCTAGGGCAAAGCTCACCCATGGTATACTGGCACACAGGTATACTGCAAGCAGTTTGCTACTAGAAATACAGTACTCACATTTGCACAAGACAAAAAACGAGCGGATTTAGCAAAGTTTCCCTCTTTGCTAATTCCACTCTTACTTTTTTTCCCCAGTATATTCTAGTATATTTCCTACTGGAATGGGAAACAAGGAGGTGGAGTTATCACCTAAACTTCTAGAATTGTAGCTAACATGGAGTATGCCTGACGGAGCATCACATATGTAAACTTCATCCATTCTGTGTGTTGATATCAGGAATAAAAAAGAGGTTGAGAACTACTGAATTAGAGAAAATTGCAACCCTTAAAGCAGAGATAACAAGATCTTAGTTAGGCATTATTGGCAGGGATGGTAAAGAGAGGAAGATTATTGGAGTGAGGTGACAGAATTAGAAACAATAGGACTCGGAAGCTGATTGGATGTGAAAGGTGAAATATCATTGCCAAAATAGCAATACTCTTTATTGAATGCCTTTAATATGTCAAGCACTCCCAAAAGAACATACACAGTATAACATAACATCATCCCATTTCAATTTCCCAACAGTGTTGCAAAGTAGGTATTTTTATTCTGATTTTATAGATAACAAAAATAAAGTTTAGAGAGTTTGAGCAACTTTCTCAAGGCCATCCAGATTTTAAGTGGGATACCTTGGGTTCAAACCCAGGGCTGTCAGATTCAAAACCTTTGTTATCATCATTACTCAAATCTAAAATGACTCTCTCATTAGGTGTTTGGCTGAATGATGGTAAAATCAAATTCAGATGATAAATACCAGATGAAGATCAGGTGTAGGAGAAAAATGGCCAGTTCAATTTTAAACATATTCAGTTTTTAAAAGCCTGGAGAATATCCCTGGTGAAGATGTCTAATAGACAGTTACATATATAAGTCTAGAGTTAACGGAGATATCTGGAAGGAGATAAAGATTTATGAGGCATTAGCATTTAAATTGTGGTGAAAGTCATGGGAATGGATGAGATTTCCCAAGGAGATTGCAACATGAGAAGAGGATAAAGTGGAGAGCAAAGAAACACCAAAATGTAAAAGGAGGTCAGAGAGAAGTATCAGTGAGGGAGCCAGGGGAGGAATGTTAATACGAGTTAGAGGGAAGTAGCTGAGGGTGATATCAAACCTAAGCAGGAAAGAACAGCAAGAGAAAGGAGTGATCAATCATCCCATGCTAGGGAGTGGTCATGAAAGATGAAGACAGAAAAAAGTTCAGTAGATTCAGGGATTGTGAATAAGAAATGCAAGTTGAAACAGTGTGAGATTTAATTTTAATAACACCCAATATCATCTAAGGTCTGTTAATAAACAGTTTGTAGGACAGAAAAGTACAAATGTTTTGAAGGGCAATTGCCAATGCATTTAAAAAGGGTGCATTTTCATTCTAAGTATTTTTCTAAGGAAACAACAAGAAATGAAGACATTCATTGCAGCATTATTTCTGACAGCAACCATATCACACTAGTTAAGAGCACCTACTCTAGAGCCAGACTGAGTTGAAACCTCAGTTCTGCTACTTATTGGCTCTGTGAACTTGGGCAAGTTACTTTTCTGTGCCTCAGTTCCTTTATCTGTAAAATAGGAACAGTAAGAGGATTACTACTATTAATAAGGTTGTTGCAGCCTGATTGGTTTTTTATTGTTACATAATAAAAAATCAGGGCAATTGGGGTAGCCATCACCTCAAACTCTAATTATTTCGTTGTGACTGGAACATTCCAAATCTTCTCTTCTAGCTATTTTGAAATATACAATAAATTATTATAAATTATATATAGTCTATTGTGCTATCAAACACTAGAACTTAATGCTTCTAGCTAACTGTATCTTTGTACCCATTAACCAACCTCTCTTCATCCCTCACTCAGTTGTTCCCAGTCTCTAGGAACCACGAGTCTACTCTCTACCTCCCTAAGATAAACCTTTTTAGCTTCCACATATGAGTGAAAACCTGCAATATTTGTCTTTCTGTGCCTGACTTATTTCACTTAACATAATGACTTCCATTTCCATCCATGTTGCTGCAAATGATGTGACATTTTTTACAGCCAAATAGTATTTAACTGTATCTATATAAAACATATTTTGTTTATTCATTCATCTATTGATAGACACTAAGTTTGATGCCATATTTTTGCTATTGTGAATAGTGCCACAATAAACATGGAGGTGCAGCTATCTCTTTGATATACTGATTTCCTATCTTTTGGATAATACCCAATAGTGGAGTTTCTGGACTGTATGGCAGTTCTATTTTTAGTTTTTTTAAGGAACCTCCATACTATTCTTTATAATGACTGTACTAATTGACATTCCAACCAACAGTGTTCAAGAGCTTCCTTTTCTACACATCCTCACCAGCATTTGTTGTTGTGCAATCTGTTAGCCTATAATACTTACTTGTCCTAATTGGTTTTTACAGTAATTAAATGTGTAAATACCATAAAGTGTTCATTACAGTGCCTAGAACATAGTAAGAGTGAATTGTTTGTTAAATGAATAGAGATAATAGTAATCAAAATGCTCAATGGTGAGGTTGATTAAAATAAATTATATATCCAAGCACTGGGATGCTATGCAACTGTGAAAAAATATGTAGTTAACTATTTAACAATATGGAAAGATACCGATGGACTCTTAATTAGAAAAACATTACAAATCATATGAATAGATTGATTCCATATGTGAATAAACAATATGTACCTATGTATTAGATATGTACGATAATTTTTCGAAAGATTTGTACCAAGATGCTTATATGTATAGATGGTTGGATTAAGAGTTTTTTATTTTACTTTTAAATTTTTACACATTTAAAAATTATGTAGAAAATATTATTTTTATGATAAAAAATTTAACATCCTAGAGGTTAGGATATTGAATAGCAAGTGGTAATTATTCTTTGGCAAAACTTTTCTGTGGAAGAAAGTGGACTGAAAGCATAGGAGCTACAGCATATTTATAACCATATAACACTATGTAAAATGCTGTAGAGTCCTGCTACCTGGGAGGCTTCTAATAAATGGGGGTTGCTATTATTATTATTGACACTAAATGCTTTCAGGTCTCATAGACTTTCAGCACCAGCACAACTCTACTGAGTAGCCAAGGAGCAGTAAATAAGAGAAGAAACTTTAAAAAAGGAGAGCGTTCTAGAAAGAGAACTGTCCTTCTAGAACATTCTGGACAGTGCTCCTGGACAGTGTGATGGTGCTGAAAGTCTATGAGAACTGAAGACATTTTAATGACAATAATAATAATAGCAACCCTCGTTTATCAGAAGCTTCCCAGGTAGCAGCACTCTGTACAGCATTTTACATATCCTGCTTCTCCATTGGTTATAAATAAGCTGTAGCTTCTAGGCTTTCAGTCCACTTCCTTTCACAGATGAGTTTTACCAAAGAGTAATTATCACT